GGGGGCGGGGGGGAGGGTGTGGAATCTCTGGAGATATTGAAGAGCAGGTTGGACAGACGTCTATCAGCCATCTCCTTGGCTTTTAGTAACCTTCCCGTCCCCCCTATTCAGTAGGAAAGGAAATAAATTCTAGACTCCAGAATCCACAATTTTTTTCACTCACACGACCACTTTTGGAATATTTCAATTAGGATAATCTAGTTATTTACCAGATATTCCCTGTACCCTCTTGACAAACTTCTCATACCCCCTGGGGATACGTACCCCAGGTTGGGAACCCCCGGTCTAGACGGTGCTTGGTCCTGCCATGGGGGCAGGGGACTGGACTTGACCTCTCAAGGTCCCGTCCGGTTCCAGTGCTCTGTGACTCTGTGAAAGTCTTTGCTGTGTGTCACTGGGCATGGTGGGTGAAAGTGAGTGGGAAGAGTTTCCCTAACACCACCCGGCAGAGCGCAGGGGGCACTGCCTCTGAGCAGGTCACATTTGGAAAGGGGGCAGCGCCCTCGGTTTACCCAGTAGCTCTCAGGGACTAGAATCCCCTGGTGACAGAGGAGAGGGCACACCACTGGCTTGTGAATTGGCCATCACGTGGCACCGAACCCCCTTGGTGCGCCCAGAAATCCCGCCATAAAGGCCACCGCTGACCAAAGGCCACGCTACGAGCCATGGGCCGAGGGTCTGTGATCGCAGACTCAGTCCCTCTGCGGGTGTACGTAGGGACCCCGTGGGAATCCGGGAAGCCTTGTGGGTGTAAGCGAAGGGAGTGTCCGTCCCCCTCGCAGGCTCGCTGAGGTCAAGAGACCTGCTTCCGGGGGTGTCCGAGCACCCCAAAGCGGCTGGGTTCACAACTGACTTGAGACGTTTTTGTAGAGGTCTGTGTGATGGTGCTACGCCAGCAACAGCTACAAACTCACATTTGGGAGCGGAACGCACCTGAGAGTCGGCCCAAGTAAGTCCAGAGATAACCAGCCACGGTCCTTTAGGCAACACCATCTCAAGGCGGCAGCTGTGAATTTCATAGCCCCGTCGACGGAGCCATGTGGCCTAGACATACCCTGATAAGATAGAGACTCACGTTTCCATTCACCAGAGGGGTTGGGATTTTCAGATGAGTCTCCGCGGGGAAGGCACCCCGATCGCATACCCAGATACTAGGAGGATGGGGGCTAAGATTGCCCGAAGTCTGGCCTGGCATGTTCAGGGGTGCAGCGCAGAAGCTGAGTTTTTGTAAAGTGTTGAGGGGCTGTGGGAAACAGCTATGGGAGAGCTACATTTGGGAGTGGAACACAATTAAACGTCGTGCCAAGTAAGTGGTTTAACGTCCGCTGGAGAACCGTGGAGAGCTTAGATCTCAGGCATCTCTGGATGGAGGCAAGAAGGCGAATGGCATATTGGGGGCATCTGGAGGAGCATGGCCAGCAGATCCAGAGGTGTCATTATTCCCCTTTATTTGGCTCTGGTGAGGCCACATCTGGAGTATTGTGTCCAGTTCTGGGCCCCCCACTACAGGAAGGACGTGGGCGCATTGGAGAGGGTCCAGCGGAGGGCCACCAAAATGATTAGGGGGCTGGAGCACATGACCTAGGAAAAGAGGCTGAGGGACTTGGGTCTGTTTAGTCTGCAGAAGAGAAGAGTGAGGGGGGATTTGAGAGCCGCCTGCAACTTCCTGAAGGGGGGTTGCAAAGAGGCTGGAGAGAGGCTGTTCTCAGTAGTGACAGATGCACAACAAGGAGCAATGGGCTCAAGTTGTGGTGGAAGAGGGCCAGATTGGATATTAGGAAAAACGATTTCCCTAGGCGGGTGGGGAAACACTGGGATGGGTTCCCTAGGGTAGTAGTGGAGTCTCCATCCCTAGAGGTTTTTAAGTCTCGGCTTGACAAAGCCCTGGCCGGGTTGATTTAGTTGGGGCTGGTCCTGCCTTGGGCAGGGGGCTGGACTTGATGACTCCTGAGGTCTCTTCCAGCTCTATGGCTCTATGATTCTAGGAGTAATAGACACTGGATTTGCAGAGGAAGTGCAACGCGTTGCTCTCAAGTGGCTGCCTGGTGTGTCAATAATGCCGGTACCTGGGTGACGTTTGGAGCTGGCACTCGGCTGAGTGGGCGACCGGGGGCTCAAGAGGAAACGTTTCCTTGCTGAAACGAATGTGGCTGGTGCATGGGCATCATTCCAGCCATGTGAGGTGTTGGCTAAGAGTATTGAGAGTCACCCGCAGTTTTTGCAAAGCTGTGTGTGGCGGTGTGACGCTGGCAGTGGCTATGGGAAGGTGACGTTTGGGAAGGGCACACACCTGTCTGTACAGCCAAGTAAGTAAATTCTAGTAAGTCTAGTAAATGAACAAAACCCAACTCACACTCTCCCTAAATACATCCCCCGCCCCGATCCCCACCTGGCGTGAACTGGCCCCTTCCAGCGGAGTCAGACCCCCAGCGGGTGGGACGCAAAGTCGCAAGAATCTGACTGGTTCAAGTATCGCACGTTGGTTTTCACAGCCCGGTGGCTCCGTAAAAGGTTCTGTAAGTTTGCTGGACAGAAGCAGGACCCGCACAGTGGTCATTGAGGAAGGGTTTGTTCTTTACACGGAGGAGGAGTTTGTGGGAGTTTTTATGCTTTCTGCCCTCCTAAGGGTACATCTACACTGCACGGCTATTTCGGAATAAGCTATTCCGGGATAGCACGTCTACACTGCAGGGCAGCCTCAAAATGAGTCCGAGGCAGGGTCCCCGAATGTGGACGCACTATCTCAATTTAGAATAACTAAGAACGGCCCCAAGAAGGGGCTATTTCAACATAGCAACAGTGGTGTGTGCACAGTGCAGCTATTTCGAAGTAGCTGTTTCGGAAAAGGCGTTATTCCTGGTGGGATGAGGGTTGCAGATGTCGGAATAAGCCGCCCGTTATGTCGATGTTATTTGGAAATAACGGAATGGCTGTGCAGACGCTCACATTTTTATTCTGAAATAACGCTCGTTATCTCAAAATAATGGTGCAGTGTAGATGCACCCTAATTGGTTTGAGAGTCCCTTGCGTGCACCTTAGTTGTTACAAGTTGAACCGCTTCGTTTAAGTCCCATTGATGTCAAAGTTTTGACTTCGGTAAGGTACCGTATGGCTACCACTCAGAGGTATAGTTTCTCCCCGTTTTTCCCCATTATTCCAAGAATAATCTGAATGCAGCATATTGACATCTCATGGGCTAGGACAGTGTTTCTCAACCAGGTATACGAGCACCCTTAGGGATACACGAGAGAAGTCTGGGGGGCACAGAAATGGGGAGAAAACTCAATTGTTGTTTGAAGTTTTACAGCGCTTTATTATTTTTGTACTTTTTGCACCCAAATCTTTCATCGCCCGCCCTGCTACGATTAAGTTGTTTAAACAAATGTGTTGCAGTGGTAGAAAAAAAATTGTGGGTGTCTGAAAACTGTAGGTACTGGGGGTACTTCTAATTTTTTTTCAAAAAAAGGGGGTACTTATACTTTTGTGTGGAAAAGGGGTACTTTATTAATTGAGACACTGGACAAGGCGTCTGAAATGACATTTGCAACAGGACAAATGTGGGTGTAAATTCTAGTAAGTCAGATCTCTCTTTCTTTCTCTCTCCTTCATTCCATCCATCCATCCCGCCCTGAAGACCCATGTAGCTTGGAAGCTAGCCTCTTTCCCCAACAGGCGTTGGCCTACTCCCCTCTCCCCGGGTCTCAGCACCGTCTG